GAAGTCTATCAGGTTATTGCTTAATTGTACAGAAGTCCTGAAGAATGTATATATTGCAAAATTTCTGGCATGCTTGCAAATTGCCTAGTGAAAGCTAAAGGCAAAAAAGATTATAGCCAATTAGTGACAAGCCTGTTTTAAAATTAGAATTGTAAGAAGGAAGGGGCTTTTTATAAGCCAAAAATTACAATAATGTTTAAAACAAGTTGGCAGTGACTTCATGAACACAAAATGCAGCGTCTGCATCAAGGTGCTAACACACACCCTAGAAATACAGGAAGGTCTTAAATTCCGTAATATCCCTATTTAGTGCACTACACTTCATTATGTACCAAACTTTTTCACTGTTTACAAACTTTAGGTGAAATGAGTTTTCACAGCTCCCAAATTTTAGTCTATTCCCAGAAGCCCGGACAATGACTGCCAAATGTTAAGTTCTGATCCAAAGAAGCACTTTTAGGCACAAACAAAAAATTCTATCTAAAATGCAACTTAAGGGGCCAGAGATTGTACAGCAGATAGGCCACTTGTCTTGCATAAAAGACCCAGGTTCAATCCCCAGCACCCCATATAGGCTGTTGAGAAACCAACTTATTTAGCCTTGTTCCTAAATAGGCTTTACTATATTTTGCAACACCAAGAAAGCAAATGGCATGCCCTTATCAGACTCCTTCCCCTAGGAACTCAGTTACATTAAGTGTTGTTGCTATTCCCAGATTTATTTCCCCACTATCTACAATTATTAAAATAACTAGCTCTGCTATTTAGTGCTTTGAAGGGAGTATAGCTTTTAACTTCTATCCTAAACTGTCCATTATTTCGAACAGAACTGAGTCACCCAGGAAGCTTTTAAAAACCCAGATTGAAGCATTCCCATTCGCAATTAAATCAATTTCCCAAACGTAGAGTCCAAGAATAGTTTTAAACTTTGTTTTTTAATGTACAGAGATTTGAAAAGCATTCTTCCACCCCATTTTTATCAATCTTGACTGTCTCACAAAGTGGAAAGCAAGGTCTCGGAACCACAGAACTTTTATGCACCAAAACTCATGCCAAGAATTTAGCTACCAATGGATCATTACAAGGACACAGTAAATGGCAATCTGCAGAAAATTATCTCAAGTATACAACTTTTTCAGAGATTTATAGCCAGACACAGTAACAACAAAGTCTCCAATGGAGACGTTACTGGGCCCGCTCGAGTAAATCGACGATCAACGGGAGGGCCTTACCTTACCTTACCTTACAGAAAGCATGTGTGAATGGGAAGTATATGGTTTATCACATGCAGGAAATGTAAAGCATTACTGTCAGAGTAAATTGTTGATAGCATGGAAAACATTTTGCGATCAATAATGTAAGAGGATTGCTAGGATAAGTTGAATAGCAACCTCAAATGTTCACTTCCTAATTCCCAGAGTCTGTTACTATTACTTTATATAACAGGAAAGGGGCTCTCCAAATATGGTTAGAATACTGAGTTGGACAATTATCTTGGATCATCCATGTAGGCACAATATCGTAATCAAATATGCCTTTGTAAGAGGGAATGCAGAGAGTTCACTATAGAAAAGGAGGCAATGAAATAAAGTAGAATTGGAATAATGTGGCCACAAGCTAAAGAATGCCAGCAGCACCTCACAGTTAAAAGACACACAATACAGACACCACTAGAAAGAAAAAGGAACCAATTTTAGCCTAGTAAAACTGATTCCTTGCTTCTAAGAAACCCTAGTAAAATAAGCCTAAGTCATTTAGTTTGTGGAAATTTACATTAGCAAACATGAAAAACTATTACATGGTATAACAGAATAAAATTTATAAAGTTTTGGGCTTCCTTTTTTTGGAGGGGGCACACCCACCACTAGTGCTGAGGGAACTACTCCTGGCTCAGTGCTCAAGGGTCATTCCAAGCCATGCTCAGGGGACCATGCAGTGCCCGAGATAAAATCCAGGGCTCCTGTATACAGAGCACACAGTCACATTGGTTTAAATATTCCCCAATCATCATTTCTCTTCAAAATACACAATTGGCTTAAATATTTAATTCAGAGGCTGGAAAAAAATAATAATAATTCAGAGGCTAGAGACAGTGGATAAGGTGCTTGACTTGCATGCAGCCAGCCCAGATTCCATAACCCTGTGCCCCATTTGGTTCCCAAAACACCAGGTGTGATCCCTGAGCAGAGGGCCAGAGTAAGCCCTGAGCATTGCAAGCCAAACAAAAACTAATTGGCAGGTTAAAGACATACAACTGGCTCAGTGGGTAGCACACATGCCTCCCATGTGAGGTTCTAGGTTCATCCCCAGCCATGTAAATAAATAAAAGACATGTCTTGGAGGAGGTAATAGAGATTTACCCTTAAAAATCAAGTGGAGCAATAGTACACTGCCTAGGGTGTTTGGCTTGCATGGAGCTGACGCAGGTTCAATCCACAATGCCCCATATGATTCCTTGAGCCTGCCAGGACTGACTCCTGAGTGCAGAGCCTGGTGTCCTGAGCACACTGGGTGTGCCCCCCACTCCAAAGAAAAGTGGATAATCAGAATTAAGGGTATGTTACTTTCTAATATAATAAACAACCATACACTGCTTTACCTCTGGTGTTTTCTTGTTCTTGCACTGCTTTCCATCTCTCTCGAAAGGACAGTGACAATATGATGACAAAATCCTATCAATTTCTATTTGACTGAACTTCTTACACTTTTAGAAAATGATCTATACATTGAAACATTTTTTCCAGACATTGATACTGAGGAAAATGAAAGGCATTCAAAATAGACAAATACAGATGAATAAAGTTTTACATATTTTATGCACAAGCTCCTTTGACAATGACAGAAAAGTTTCTATACAATCTAACAAACTATGTTCTTATATATTTTGGAAGTGGGCACACCTGGCTCTGTTTGGTAGTCATTTCTGGCAGTGCTCAGGGAACCACACAGTGCGTGGGATCAAACCCTGGCCTCCTCCTGCATGCAAAGCAAGCACTCTCCCAGCCCAGTGTTTGTTATATAAAACACAAGTGAATCACATGAGGTCAGCCGGCAGCACATGCATGGGGAAAAGGTAGCTCAGATAGAGAAGGGAACACCAAGTACAGGATGTTTGGAGGACTCACTCAGGATGCAAGATGCATGCTGAAAGTAAACTATAGACCGAACATGATGCCCACTCAATACCTCTATTGCAAACCACAACACCCTAAAGGAAAGAGAGCAAGAGGAAATGCCCTGCCACAGAGATGGGGCGGGGTGAGGGGGATGGGGGGTAGGGGGTTACTAGGATTATTAGTGGTGGAGAATGGGCACTGGTAGAGGGATGGGTACTTGATCACTGTATAACTGAAACCCAAGTACGAAAGTTTGTAAGTCTACAACTGTACCTCATGGTGTTTCACTAGTAATAAAAAAAAAAATGGTACATAGTTTATGCAATTATAAACTACTTTCACTAAGAGCAGAAATCCAGGTCAGGATAAAATTCTCATTTTGAAAATTAACTAATTTTGAATGATACAATTATCCTCAAATCAACACTTGACATACTATTCTCTTAAGTTCAAAACATCTTTTGTATTTATCATTTTGGTTTTTTTGAGCCACCCAGCACTGCTCCAGCCAGGATCACTCCTGGTGGGGCTCAAAGAACCAGATGTGGAGCTGAGGATCAAATTAAGTCAGTTACGTGCAAGGAAAGTGCCCTACCCATTGTACTATCACTCCAGCCACTGCATTTATCTTTTGTGTTTAGTATTGTACTCCCTAAATTATATTAGGTTTTCATATTTGATATGAACCAATATAGATGAAGAAAAATGAAAGGAGCACTATAATTCCCCAACACACATAAAATCCCAACACACCACCAAGCGTTCAGATTAAGGCTCACTATACCTCTTAGATGAAAAATCTAAGTCTCTAGTGTGCTTGTTTGGTAGTTTTCTAGATAGTGTATCCTACGCTAACAATGCATAATTTTTCAGGAAACAAATTTGGATGTTTTGACCATCTCAAATAAATACCTAAACATGTTGTGCGGGAATTGGCCTTGTAGTAGGCAACACAGGTTTGATTCCCCGCATCCATGTAAACCCCAAAGTCCTCCAGGAGTAAAGCCTGAGTACTGCTGGGTGTGGCACCCCCCCTTCAAAAAAACAGTATGTTGTGCCAACATACCTGTAGCATCTGCACAATTAACAACTAGCTGCATTCAAGAAATTAAAATCAACTACTTTTCTAAGAATTTATATAATATTAAAGAAAAATATTAAGAAATCTTAGCAGAGCTCAAGAATGCAGACAGTGGTAAGGGAGCACTTGCCATGCAGGTGTGAAGCCCAGGGTTCAATGCCCAGCACATGCAAGAAAAAGAAACAGATGGAAGATAGATCAAAGGGTTAGAGCACATGTTTTACATGCTAGCAGGCAGGATCCAATTCCCTGAACTGCATGGTCCTGAGTAACACAAAGTACCAAACACTGAGACAAGTATAGCCCCCTGCATTGGCAGGGGTAGCCCCCCAATATAAACAAACAAGTATATCTTAGCAAATTTATGAGGCAATAAAAAAATTAGGCATGTAAAATATAATTAAAATGAGCTATGCAAATAAAACCATAGGCAACTACAAAGGGAAAAAGTCATCATATAGAGAGTAGGCAAGCATACTAAGGGAAAAATAATTTGTTCTACTACCATGAATTTGATATCAGTCAATAAATGTGTTTATATATATACAATATAGCTTTTATTGGCAATGTAGTCATGGATTTTAAATATTTTCCTGCTATTAAAAAAAGTATTAATTCATTAAAATTAACTGAATAACCTTTGGAAAGGTCAATTTAATCACCCAAGAAAGAAATGTACAAAAAGAATTATGTTATGTAACAGGAACATAAATTATTCTGTTACCTTCTTTTCCAGATATGAGAAAAAGAATTAACCACATAATTAAAATAACCTTATGGAAAGAAAAAAAATTAACTTCTGGGTCACAGAGATAGCTCAAAGGGCTACAAGGACACTTTCAAGTTGGAAGGTCCAGGTTTGATTCCCCTGCACATAGTCCTGAGAACCACAGGAAGAAATCACTAGCAAAGAGCTGGAATAACCACTATCACACTATCGCCAGGTGTGACCCAACCCCCCTCCCCCAATAATAATAAAATAAAATGAGTGGAATACTTTAAAGGGGGATAAAATAATCCAAGGTGGGCCAGGGACGTGACCATGTGGCTTGTAAATGTAAGGCCCTAAGTTAGAAATCTAGTAGCATAAAAATAATAAGTAATTCAAACAAAAAAACAAGCTTAACTTCCTCATCACAAGAATTATAATGTCTACCTCCTCTAGTCTTAGAATCACAATTTATAGATCAATGGTTTCCCGGGCTCAATTTGTAAATATTGCTTAGGTAGATAAGTGTGTATTTTCAAAATTCTATAAATTGTACTAAGGAAAAAGTTTTATTCAGGTTTTACCCAATTTAGTGAGCAAGTCAAATTCATGGTGCAATGAATACAAATGAGATGTCAATATGAATACAAAAGCAAGAATACAAACTGATGTTTTCTTTTGGGGATTTTTTTATGATCAATTCCAAATACAATACAGGGAGAGGGAATGAATAAGAAAAAAATCAAATGGTATTATTTCCCCATTAACACCAAGCTACATTATGCAAAATGTGTTTCAAAATATTAGCCAGGTCATCAATCCCAGCTACTGTCTTGGTTCAATGTTCATTAGCAACAGGAATCTTTGAAGACACCATCTAGAGAGAACAGCTATATCACTATATATGACTTCTAAACTCAGTAGTCTCTCAATTTAGCAAGCTTATGTAAAAATTACTATTCCCATTGGTATTTATACTGACATTAATATAGATGCATAATTTCAAAGTCAACATTCTTTTATCTGTGAACATAAAACTTCTGAAAATATAATTGTGGGATGGGTAAAGTAACAATTAACTGCTGAGAAAGCACTGTTCAAATATGCTGGCAGGCTTAGAAAGGTAAATATATATACACACTCTCAGTATGCTACCATTTCCCACACTTTTGCTGTACATTTCATAATGTTTTTCCTCAAATTTGAAAAAATAACTAAAATTAATATATTTTCATCTTCATTTAAAAATAACCTTTTTAAATGAAAAACAAGTTCCTTATGTTTCTTCAGTCTCTCATGTTGGATTTAAATTTTTTTCACTACATGTACATTTTTAACCTTTTTTAGCCTAATTACAACCAGTTTGGCAATAATAGGAGTTCTAGTGCTTTGTTAAAAATAGCTTTCGGTAGACTGTAAGAATATAAAATCTGTAGTTGAAGTCTTCTTAAGACAATCATAATGAAGTCATTCATAACACCTGGGAACTATTAAAAAAAAATCCTCACATGTGCATACAATTCAAACATAAACTTTGTGGGGAGAGGGCAGAAAATAAATACATTTCTGAACTCTGCTTAAATGCCTGCCTAGATGGTTAGATAAAGAGATTAATTAATTTCACTAATAGGAAGAGCTAAACTATTTTAAAGATTGTTTCCAAGTACTTAGAACAATTTCGGAAGATGAAGTCATATCAATATATTTCCTGTAGTGTAATATAATCGCTTATAATGAGGTAAAATCTGAAAGCAATTAATAAAAATATTAATAGGGTAAGTCACTATTAAACCAGTCTGAAAAAAAGTTTCTGGCTAATGTAGTTTGGGGAGGGAGTAAGGGAAAAACTGGGTATATTTCCAGTGGGAATATCACTTATGTGCCTTATGTATGTAAGAGTTCATTGTTGCAGAAAGATAAATTCCTCCCAAGAGTGCTGCCTAGGATATACTTTATGTAGCATATAGTAAGACTATTTAAGAATTACTAAAATTCTACATTTATATTTGAAATATATGGTTATGTACGTAGGTCAAAAGTTATTTAAACATTAAAACGTCGATTTCAGTTTTTAAAAGTCTGAACTAGGTACTACAGAATTTTCTTGAATTTCTAAACCTTAGGAAGAAATATTACTATTTATTAAATGGTTTGTGCAAAACTTGAAGCTCATCTTTTTATAGAGGGGTTTATTTGATGAGGATTGTGATCCAATGATTGTTTAGCAGCAATTTTACCAAACTGTAAATTCTTTTATTAACAGGCATTATAAACAGATAATACTAATCTTATATTTAAAAACCATGAGTGCCACACTGGTGAATATACAGCTCATGAATAACTTAAAAAGTATTTCTCATTTAAAAGGCAACACACAGCATACAAAAACCTATACTAAACAGAAAAGCTATAATATGAATACATGATTGATGTGTCTAAAATGATATATATACAGTACATAATTAATGTTAATTATGTGATCAGTACATTTTTCTGTATGATTCCCTTCATGCTTCACTTTCCCCCGAAACTGAATTCTGAACTTCCTCTTCTAAAATTGGTACAATCAGGTTATCCTTCGACATCAAATTATATTTCATCACGAATTTAGTAAACCGATGACACAAAAATGTTTCATTCTGTAGAGAAAGAAAAAATGTTACTTTAATATCTAATATAAACAAAAACTAAACACAAATAGTAATATACACTATTATTCAGATAATAATTAATCAGGAAAACTGACAAAATATACTTACTTCATACTCATCAAATATCTGCCGGTGATGAAAATAAGCATGTGAAAATATTCTGTAAATCCTACGGCATACTGATCCTAGTTTTGCTACAGATGATTCCTTTATGCTAACCCTAAAAATATAAAAGAAAAAGAAATCAAATTTTCAGAGAAAGCAATAATATATTTTTTTTAAAAAAAGGAAGAGGGGCTGGAGCAATAGCACTGCAGGTAGGGCATTTGCCTTGCACGCGGTCAACCTGGGTTCGATTCCCAGCATCCCATATGGTCCCCTGAGCACCGCCAGGAGTAACCTCTGAGTGCAGAGCCAGGAGTAACCCCTGTGCATCGCTGAGTGTGACCCAAAAAGCAAAAAAAAAAAAAAAAAAAAAAAAGGAAGAAAAAACCACAGATCCATAAAATTGGAAAGATCTCTGGTACGAAATAGCTTAATTTTCTCAATTCATAAATGTGGAAACTACTAACAGTAACTAGCAAGGGTAATACTAGAACTGTTGTTTATTTTTTGGGGTTTTGGGCCAGACCTGGTGATGCTCAGAGGTTACTCCTGGAGTTGTACTCAGGATTACTCCACATGGTGCTCAGGGAACCATAAGGGATGCCAGGAATCGAACCCAGGTTGGCCATGTGCAAGGCAAATTCCCCACCACAATTCTCTACTAATGCTCTGGCCCCAAGAATAAGGATTTCCTCTAAAGCAGCTTAATGAAGAGAGTTGGAGGAATAGACAACAGGTAGGGTGTATGCCTTGCATGTGACCAATCAGGGATCAATCATTCTATGATCAGTTGTTTTTTTATCTATACCTAAATTAAATTCAGAACAGTCTGGAAATTTAATAAAATTAAAATAAAATCCTAACACACCAAATTTACTAAAACATACACTTATAACATTAACAAGATGTCAACTAGAAATCAGTAACTGAAAATTATTATTTTATTATACAGAACTTGAATTTATTTTTGCTTTGTTTTTGGACCACAACTGGCAATGCTCAAGGCTTACTCCTGGCTCTGCACTCAGGGATCAACTCCTGGCAGTGCTTGGGGGATCATATGGGATACCGGAGGTTGAACTCACATTGATAACCATGTGCAAGGCAAATGCCCTACCCACTGTACTATTCCTCTGATCACAGAACTTGATTTTTTGAAACCTAGTTCTGATATCTTTTTTCAAAAACACACGTATAGGATATCAAAAATTAGGAGGTAAAAAATGTTATTTTTTTTCATCTGTTTTATATAAACTCTTATAAGTCAGTAATATATGGGAAAGAAAATATATGGGAAAGAAAATTTTCAATCCTATTCACCTCATAACACATATCTTACTAGAACAAAAGACTAGTCACAAACTTCATCAGTAATGTATTATAGTATATATAGGCTTCAATTCAGATGTTCAAAATTTATGAACTAGAGCCAGAGCTACAGTAACAGAGTTAAGGCATTTGCTTCTTATGAGACCAGTCTGATCCCCAGCATTGCACCACATGGTCCCTGAGCAGAGGGCCTCCTGCAGAAGCTTCTAGGTACTATGTATGAGGTGTGGCCCCAACTCCAACCCCCACTTCTCAAAAAAATCTGTCAGGCAATAATAATAATAATAAGGATTTCCTCTAAAGCTGCTTAATGAAGAGAGTTGGAGGAATAGACAACAGGTAGGGTGCATGCCTTGCACGTGACCAAGCAGGGGTCGATTCCTGGCATTCCAAATAGTCCCCATAGCTCTACCACAAGTGATCCCTGAGCACAGAGGCAGGTGCAAACCCTGAGCACTGCTGGTTGTGGTCTAAAGACAAAAAATAAATAAATAAAATAAAGCAGTTCAATTTAGTGAAGTCTGTTCTTTAGGCAAGCTGTCTGAGAAAAGACTATCAGAGATTTAAGGAATCAACCAAATACCTCAATATCAATCATGAGAAGGAAAGCCTTAGAGAATGAAAATAGCATTAGCCAACTCTACCACTAATTGGCTGTTACCTCAAGTCAAATCTGCTGACTTTAATTACAACCTTAATTTCAAAATTTAAATGATTTTGAACAAGTCAAACGTCACTGTCACTGTCCTCCCGTTGTTCATCGATTTGTTCGAGTGGGCCCAGTAACACTGTGAGACTTGTTACTGTGTTTGGCATATCGAATACATCACGGGTAGCTTGCCAGGCTTTGCCGTGCGAGCGAGATACTCTCGGTAGCTTGCCGGGCTCTCCGAGAGGGGTGGAGGAATCGAACTCAGGTCGGCCATGTTGGCTGCATGTGAGGCAAACGCCCTACCCGCTGTGTTATCGCTCCAGCCCAAGTCAAACATAAAATAGGAAAAAATATTTTAAACCTACAGAACATAATGCAATACCACAATATGCTATTAAATAAAATTTAAGTCCAACACCATGTTTAATTTTTGTTTACCTGCTGGGAAAATATTTATTGCTATTCAGAAGACATGCAGCACCATCAAGTGTGTGTCTAGTATAGTCTATAGCAGGACACTAAAAGAAAGGATTAAAAAAATTAACAACGAGTTCATCTCTTAAGATTGGGTCTATTTTTTTCAAATCAAATATATTTTTATACAGATAACCCAACTCTGCCCTTTCCACCCAATATACAATCCCAAAGTATAATCTAATAGGTTTTTAGTATTTCTTTTTCCTAGGAACACTGAAAAATGTTTCATATAAACTCACGGCAATAGTGTTCATGAGAGGGAGAGCCTTAGAGAATGACACACAGCAATAGGGAGTGCCCTAACAGTCAATAGCTTAAAGAAGAGAATACAGCTAGGAAGCACCCAAAAAAACATTATTCAGATATGCTGAGCCCTCTGATTTATTTGTAACAAATAGCCCAGAAGTTGTCTTTTCTTCAAAAATGCCTTCCTACATTCTAGGAAACATCTAATATGTCCCTGGAACCCTAATATCTAGGTGAAAAAAATCTAATAATCTTGGGTGAAATCTAAAAAAATCTAACAATCTTTGGTGAAAAAATTTACCAAAGAATTTTCTCCTTGAACCTCCTCCGAGTTTGTAAATTTGTTTTTATTTTAGTAAAGTAAGTAAATCGTTGATCATCGATTTGCTTGAGCGGGCCCAGTAACGTCTCCATTGGAGACTTTGTTGTTACTGTGTTTGGCATATCGAATATGTCACGGGGAGCTTGCCAGGCTCTGCCGGGCGGGCAAGATACTCTCGGTAGCTTGCCGGGCTCTCCGAGAGGGGCGGAGGAATCGAACTCGGGTCGGCCATGTTGGCTGCGTGCAAGGCAAACGCCCTACCGCTGTGCTATCTTTATCTTACTTCACATACCAGAAACAATAAAGTCCTAATAAAGTAAAATTAAAACTATGAAGTTATTCTCTTCATCTAGGACAGAGAAGAAGCACCAAAAGAAAGAAACGGTAGGCCGTAAGTGCCCAAGAACATACAAATGGATAAACTATGGCACATCTACACAGTGGAATACTATGCAGCTGTTAGGAAAAATGAAGTCATGAAATTTGCCTATAAATGGAGGACATGGAGAGTATCATGCTGAGTGAAATACGTCAGAAAGAGAGGGACAGAATACAGAATGACTGCATTCATTTGTGAGATACAAAAAATATATATTCCCCTATATAGGGGAAGACTAATATCCATGGCCAGGAAAAACAGGGGCTAGGACAGGTCAATGGTTTGAACTAATCACAAGTATGTATGGGATGTGCGTAGGTAAGATAGAGGAGAGACCAGTATGACAATAATAGCTGGGAATGATCACGCTGGACAAGATCTGTGAGTGTTAAAAGTAGATAAAGGAATACTCTTTTTTTTTTCCCCCTTTATTTTATTTTATTTTTTTTTTTAAGTTGTAGATTTACAATTTTTTGTGCTTTGGTTTCAATTATACAATGATCAGATACCCATCCCTCCACCAGTGCCCATTTTCCACCACCATGGATAATATCCCTCCCACCCCCATCCCCCCATCCCCCCTGTCTCTGTGGCAGGGCAATCCCCTCTGTTCTCTCTCTCCTTTTGGGTGTTGTGGTCTGCAAAAGAGGCATTGAGTGGCAAACATGTTCAGTCCATAGTCTACTTTCGACATGCATCTCCCCTCCTGGGAGGATCCTCCAAACATCTAAAGGAATACTCTTGATAACCTTTGAGTATCAATACTGCAAACCACAATGCCCAAAAGAGGGAGAGGGGTGAGAGAGGGGGAGAGAGAGAGAGAGATGGAGGAAGGGAGAGGATAGAGGGATAGAGAGATGGGAGAGGGAGGAAGAGGGGAATAAGGGGGGAGGGAAGGGGAGAGAGGGAGAGAGAGAGAGAGAGAGAGAGAGAGAGAGACAGAAAGACAGACAGACAGAGAGACAGAGAGAGAAGAAAATCAGGCAGGGGGTCAAGGGTGAGGAGTGATGAGTGATGAGAGGGAACCTGGGTGTTGGAATACTTTATGACTGAAATCTAATCATAAGCAGTTTTGTAAGGGTCTATTTCACAGTGATTCAATAAAAAAGAAAAAAAAAGAACAAAAAAAGAACACTAAGCTAGAGATATGGTTCAAATGTCAGCTAAATGCCTTGCAGATGCAAGACCCTGGGTTTGATCACCAGTATATTACCCACTGGGTTAGGTGTGTGGCTCAGTTTCTTAACAATTTTTTAATTGCTTAATTGCCAGGAGTAAGTCATCAGGTGTGGCCAACTACTCCCAAACAGCAAGCAACAACAACCAAAAAAAAAAAAAAACTATTTAAAGACTGAGAAGGAGGGGCTGGAAGGACAGTACAGTGGTTAGGGTGCTTGCCTTGCATGTGGCTGACCTGGGTTCCATCCCTGGCATCCTATGTGGTCCCCCAAGCACCAGCAGGAGTAATTCCTGAGTGTAGAGCCAGGAATAACCTGAGCCTTGAGGGGTATGACCCCAAACCCGAAACCAAACCAAACAAAAAACACAAATAAAAAAACTGAGAAGGAACCAAGGAATCAAACAGTTACCAAACTTATTTCTCCTGTCACCTCCTTTTCAGAAAAATAAAAGCACTTATTGCCCCACTGAAATGCACCATTTTTAAGCAAGCAAATACAAAGCTCACACCACAACTGCACCAGATGAGACAAACACCCCCTGAAAAACACTGCAATGGCCCCCAGGGATGGTTTCACCCACTTTAGGAAACAGTGAAATAGAAGGAAAAAATTAGAGAAATGCTAATAATTATACTATCTTATATTTAATATTTAGGGAAAAGTAGATATGATATTGGCAGAGTATTATAACACATTGCAAAATGGATAGTTATTTTATTTTCAAGAACAATGCATCTTTACTATTTGCATGAAAGGGCAGAGGAAGAGAGTGGGAGAAGAGAGAAGGGGAAAGAAAAAAGGTGCAAGGAAAGCACTGTACTATGTCTCTATGGCCCCTATTAGCTATGATCTTTTTGATCTTTTATGGGGGGGTCACATCTGGCAATGCTCAGGGGTTACTCCTGGCTCTGCCCTCAGGAATTATTCTTGGCAGTGCTTGGGGGACCATATGGGATGCCAGGAATCGAACCCAGGTCGGCCACATGCAAAGCAAACACTGATCTGGCCCCTATTAGCTATGATCTTAAAATTTATTTTGTAAATTCTCACCTCTTTTGGAGTTTTATGAGCTGCACAAAGAAAAATCCATTGTTCAGTTGCTGTCATTTGAGTGCAAGTATCTGGATGGCATTCACTCTATTAAAAATATCAAAAAGTTATAGTTTTAATATGTAAAATAACAATAAAGTTTAACATTTTGGTACTACAGTTCACATAAAAGCCTAGCAGAAAATAATTAGAAATTTTGAAACAGCTTGCAAACACATTAAATTCCAAAAAAAAAAACAAAACAGAACTTTCATTATAATTAATTTAACTTAAAGAAAATATTACCTGAAGTTTGACAGCAAGACCATTTAGCTCCAGGCAGAACTGCCTAAAAATGTAAATACATAAGTGAAAAAACTTATCTTTTTTCCACAGTTATTTTTGTAACATTAACTATAGTAAAAGAAACCCAACAATGCCATCCTTCCTCCATCAATACTAACTGAACTGACATGGCAAATTTCTTGCAAAGACCAAACAGATTTTTAGAACACAATATGAAAACTAAAATCTTAACATTCACTTATCAGAGTTCAGTGAGTTGATAAATTACATTCTGATTAGTAAAATGTTAGTATATACATAAGCATAAAAAGAATGCATGCTTGTATACATAGAGTAAAGATTTGAGTGTACAAAAATCTACATTAACAACACAAAGAAAAATCTAGATGGCATAAACTATGATGTACTTTCCAAGTTTTGTCTTGATTACAAACATATTCCTCTTACAAACTTCAAACACAACCAAAGATACAATGCAGCAGATGAAAGTCCTCTATAATTCTATCACCTTGTTCAAGAAAAACATTATTTAATGAAAATATAAAATTTCTATGCAGATTAAAATATATTACGATCATATATATAATTTTCTAACTTGCATGTTGCTAAATGGACTCTAGACTTTTTAATGATATACTTTCCTTCTAAATTACCAAACAGAGAACTACAAAGTACAGAATAATGTCTGAAATACACTAATTGTTTCTGTTATCTTGCTTTTTTTTTAAATGGTGAGAGGGATTCAACTAGAGCCACACACATGTGAAAGGAATCCCTGGCCACAACAAATGTTTCTGAAAAAATGAAGAATGAAGAAAATTACATGACATTAATAGAATCATTTTTTAACAGACTAATATTTTAATGAGAAGGCAATTCTCTATACACACAGATAACTTCCTCTATAACTATAAAAATGCTGAATGTCGTACAAAAAATCTATCAAATTAAATAACCACTATTATTATCACATCCCTTCTACTGCCCCACATCAAAAGACTTCAAGCTACATGTTTTGAAATTGTTCTCATTTAACAGTGGTAATAAAAAATGCTTATAAGCAAGTTTGCTTTACTTTCTTTTGGGATTTTTACGCACTCAGTGCATAGTGAGAAATCCTAGTCATGGTTCTCATGCTCAGGAAGGAACCTTGATGGTGCTAGGAGAACCATATGCAGTGTCAGGGACCTAATCAGGGCACTTAAAATAAACAATGCCTTATCTCTACCTCTTGTACTTATTCTCTTGAACCTAAGCAAGATTTTTTTAATCTATCCAAGAAACTGACAGGAGTATAAAAAAAGTCTTTATATAAGCCTTTAAGAGTATAAAGAAGTCTTCCCTGGGATAGGAGTGACAATATAGTAGATAGGACATTTGCCTAGCATACAGTCAACCCACATTCAATCCCTGGAATCCCATATGGTCCCCTGAGAACTACCTGGACCAATACCTGAGTGTAGAGCCAGGAATAAACCACTGAGCAACACTGGGTGTGGTCCCCCCCCCAAAAAAAATTTCTTCCTATTCCAAAATTGCTAGACTGTTATGATAAAATGTATTGTGTCTTAAAAGTATCACCTGTACAAGAAGCCTACAGCATATTTCATTTTTTAAAAAATCCTTGTGCAAAGTTGAGGAACTTGGATTCGGGGCAATGGTACAGTGGGTAGGTCTTTTGCCTTACACTCAGCTGACCGAGATTTGATTTCTGCCGCCCTATATGGTCTGCCAGCCCATCAAAAGTGATCCCTGAGCACAGAGCCAGATGCAAGCCCTAAGCACTGCCAGATGTGACCCAAAAACAAAAATAAATCAAGTTGAAACACTCATCACAGAAAATGTCAACCAATTTATTCATAGGAAAAGTCATAGTTCTAAATTCTTACCCAAATTTAAAAACAAACTGAAAGTAACAAACTCAAACATACATCTCCTATCTACGAACTCATGCCCAAATTGAAAGTAACAAACTCAAACACACATCTCCTATCTATGACCTCATGCCAGCTCCTATTTACATTAGTAAATTAATGACTTCGAAAAACAGTCTAGTAACTCATATAGTTATTTCTAAAGTTTAATCTACCTATGCACTAGTCATTAATCCCTCCCTCCCTTCCTCCCTCCCTCCCTCCCTCCCCCCCTTCCTTCCTTTTCCTTTGGTTTCTAGGCCATACTCAGTGGTACTCAGAGATTATCCTTGTTCTGGGATCACTCCTGGCAATGCTTGGAAGGACATGCAGTACTGAGCATCAAGCCTAGGGTTCTCACATGTAAAGTATGTAATCCGGTCCTTTCAGCCATCTTACTGATTAAAAGAATATTTTCAAAACCCAGAGAAAGGGGCTGGAGTGATAGCCCAGCGGGTAGGGCATTTGCCTTGCACGCGACTGACCAGGGTTTGATTCCCAGCATCCCATATGGTTCCCTGAGCACCGCCAGGGGTAAGTCCTGAGTGCATGAGTCAGGAGTAACCTCTGTGCATTGCTGGGTGTGACCCAAAACCCAAAGAAAAAAAAAAAAAGCCAGAGAAAATATTGTCAGGGGTTGAGGAAATAGTACAGTGGTAGAGTTCTTGCCTTGCACACAACCTGGGTTCAATCCTCGGCACTTCCTATCGTTCCCCAACTACCTTCAAAAGCAATGCCTGATTGGGCCCCAAGCAATAGTACAGTGGATAGAGTGCTTCCCTTGCACACAGCCAACACGTTTGATCCCCAACACCACATATGGTTCCGAGAGACTGCTAGGAGTCATTCCTGAGCACAGAGAGAAGGAGTAAGTCCTGAGCACCACTGGGTATAGCCCCAAAACAACAAAAAGTGATGCCTGAGCACCACCAGGTGTGGATCAAAACCAAACACAAAACGAAACAAAAAAAAAGCATTATAATTTTTATTTACCAAAGGGGAGGCTAAAGTTCGAAGCAGATTATAGGTAACTCAACAAAAAACAAGCCTCAACTAGGACATAGAGGGTCAACCTCTATAAAGAGGATAAACAGAAATGATTATAATTAAGAGATATAATTAAGAGAAAACATGTAAACAGATAATACAGCCAAAATTTATAAAGTAGAAAACAATAAGTAAATTGTAAAACTAAAAATACAGAAGTTAAGGGAAAATAAAACACAAATGCTTTAAATTTGGGTTTTGGATTTGTAGATACATAATTATTTCATCTATGTTAAAGATTATTCTTAATAACAGAAATACTACTTAAAAAAGGCCTTCGTTGAAGGTCTGGGAGATAACACAGGGTGCTTGCCTGGGATATTGCTGACCCCAGTTCCATACCAAGTACTGCTGGGTGTGGTCCAACTCCCTCCCCACCAAAAAGAAGGGCCTACCTTAAGTGTTCATATTTCCATACACCTTCATCTTGGCCTTCAGGTGGTTCAAGAATTTTGTCAATATTGGAACAATCTGCTCTTATGTTCTGTTGAATATACTACAAAGAAATTCTTATGGTTAATTGAAATACAGTAAGTCTAATTTAAGATATAAAAAAATTTAATATGCACTCGATCATTCAACTTGTGGATCATGTTCAAAACTGAAAACCAAATACAGAATTAGTAACTCAGAAGAAGGTAATTTTTTTTTAATGGTGGAAAAGAAATTGTATTTAGGATTATCCAGCTGGACTGTTTACTTACTTATTCTTTTTTGTTTTGTTTTTGGAGGCACATGTGATGCTCTGTGATTACTCCTGGCTCTGCACTAAGGAAATTACTCCTGATGGTGCTTGGGTGACCAAATGGGATGCCGTGCACCAAATCCAGGTTGACCACAAACAAGGCAAGCGCTCTGCCCACTGTATTTCTTTCTCCAGCCCCAATTTTTACCTATTCTTATCCATTTCAGCTTCTGAGAGATTGCATCTACTACAAAAATGTAGATATGGTACACCAGGGTTGAAACTGGGATCAAAATGATAAACTCATAATTTTCATATGAACATAAAATACATGAAGATTCAAACCTGAGAAGCAATAAAGCATACACAGGGGAAGGAACCACAACATAATAAAAACTTAGTGACTATATTTTTAAAATGTCCTTACTTACACATAACAAAAAGCCCTTTACACTTAATGTAAAATCAAAAAAAGAACATAAAACATAGACAATGGGACCGGAGAGATAGTACAGTGGGTAAGGCACTTGCCTTGCACACAGTCTTTCCAGGTTTGTTCCTTGGAATCCTATAAGGTCCCTTAAATGATTCCTGAGTGCACAGTCAGGAGTAACCACTGAGCATCGCTGGGTGTGGCCCCAAAACAAAGAAACAGAAAAAAATAGACTAAAAAATAACTGAACAGATAATATGATTTGGCTATTGTCTTGTCAAAGTACTGGATAGAAGAGCAGGAAAGACTAAATGGCAGAGAAGTTGTTGTATCTCTGTTTTTCACTTTGGTATCCTTTGACCTGAACTCAATACAGAATGAAACCAAGAAATAAGATCAAAATTAAAATTAAGGAAAAAAATCACAAATGAGTACTGTTAGTGCTGAGAAAGTGATACAGGAGAATTAGTGCAGGCTCAAGGAGAGGAAAAAGAAACTCCTAAAGCTCAAGGAGGATAGAAGAATTTCCCCAGTGTTACGATCCCTTTTCTCTCTTGTCATAGACTTATGTCTAAAATATCTCTACATGGCAACAAAACAAGACAGCAACTTAAAAACAGGAGACAAAACTCTGAGAACACCCTTCTTTACATTTGCTGGTAGGAACCTATATCTTGCTCTCTTTGCCTTACAAAACTGTACAATTCTGTTAAGTGGTTTCTGAATGGAGAAATTAAATTAGGTAGCCTCAGAAACCAGAATCAGTTACAACAACAATGGAGGTGCTCAAAAGTGAACCCAAAAAGCTGTTTTACAAACTGCTAAACTCAATCTTTATCTGTGCATATATTCATGGATTTGAGTTTAACTCACACAGGGTAACATTTTGAAAACTGGAGCCAGGGCTGTATCAGCAGTAGACTGATTGCCTGACATCTTGCATTTGTGAAATCCTAACCAAGTCTGATCCCGTCAGTCAATTCCCCTTAAAAAAAAGACTTTGTAATGGAATGAGTAACTCTACCAAAACTTTGATAGCAAACTTAAGAAGTAATGCAGACTTAAAAAAAAAATAAAACTTTGGTCCATTCAAATGTCCAGTCTGGTGGGATGGAGAGTCAGTACATGAGGCCAACCCAGGTTTAATCCAGAGCACTTCATGTGGTCCCCCCAACAATGCCATAAGTGACCACTGAGTGCAAAGCCCCGAGCACACTGGGTGTAGCCAAATAAATAAATAAATAAATAATTTAAAAAGACAAAGAAACAAAAATAAAAACAAAAGCAAATGTGCAACTGTATCTAACAAGGTTAAATATCTGCTAGAACAAAAGTAACATTTTTCATAAGATTAAACAAAACTAGGGCCAGAGTAAGATAGTTCAAAAGGCGAAGTGCAAGCTCTGCATGTAGAAGGCCCTGGTTCAATTGTAGCCATGCATGTTCCCCCAAGCACTGCTGGGAACAATTTCTGAGCACAAAGCTGGGTATAACTGGGAACCACCAAGTGTGGCCCCAAAATAATCAAATTTAAATAAAACCACAGTTTCAATCTGTCCAGGAAAATAAAATCACTTTTGAAATAAAATCTCAATTTTCATGGAAAAACACAAAATCAGAATGACAAGATGTCACAGACGCTGGGGACCTGGGTAACTCAGTTGGCAGACCACTGACTTCACATGACTCAGATCCCCAGCTAAATTCTACTTCCTGATGCCCGAGTTACTGTCATTTAGTAACTAACCGTAGAGCCACAACAGTGTTAGATCTCTGGTGCACTCAGAACCAATATATCTGAGCATCACAAATGAAAGTGTAAACCTGTGGCAAGCACTACAATATGCAAGCATCAAAGTCAAGTGTACGTCCCTAAGTCATAACAATACCAAAAAGTGAAGGGATGGAGGGAAACACTTGCATCAAACTGAAATTTTAAAATAAATATATGATAACTAAATTAACTCACTAATAGAATGGAGAACAATGAGTCAATAAACCTGAAGATAAATAGCAATTATCCAATCTGAAAAAAGAAATTAAATGATTAAAATAACTATAAATTAAAATAATAATAAAAATAAATAATAATAATAATGCCTCAGGAAAAACAATAAAACGATTAAAGTCATGTCACTAGAATCCAGAAAAGCTAACAGGGCTAGGGGCCAGAGGAATTGGGGCACTTGCCTTGCACTAGCTAACCTGGGTTTGATCCCCAGCTTCCCATACGGAGCCCTGAACACAGAGCCAGGAGTAAGTAATCCCTGAATACCCCCGAGTGTGACCCAAAAATGAAACAACAACAATAACAAAAAGCTGCTAGATCTACATTTCTAAAGTTCAGTGAAGATGAAAATTAATAAATTAAAGAAGCTGAATGGATGACCTAAGAGAATAATTCAACAGGCTGAGGACGTTTTGTATGCAGGAGACCTGAATTCCATCCCCGTTGTAGGAAACAGTCCTCTTCCCCAGGAGGAATAATGGGAAGTTACCAAAGGTGAATAGGTTCAGTTGGGGAAGATGAAAAATAAAGAGACAGTGATGACTGCACAGGTATCTATATCCTTAATGCCACGGAACTATATACACTATACACTATATATACACACACATAAAAATTGTAAAAAATGTAAATCCTACATTTTGCCACAATTTAAGCAAATATGAGTGAAAACCAGAATCCCAAGAAATGTATGCTCAAAGAAATGTATGCCCAAATACATCATAATCAAACTGCCAAAATCTAAAGAAAGCAAATAAAAATAGACACATGAGCTATGGGAGAAAGATTCCATGATTACAGCTTACTCATCAGAAAGCACAGAAGGAAGACAGGAGGAAATGATTTAACATGGGGCTGGGGAGATATCTCAAAGGTCTCTAATGTACGCTTTGCATGTAGAAGGCCCAGGTTTGAGCCTCAGTATCACAAGGTTCCTTAAAAGCAAAAGCCCAAGCACAAACCCAGGAGAAGCCCTGAGTAACTGCCGGAACCTCCCTCCATATCCTCAAAAAAAGGAAATGATACTACATTTGTAAAGAGTTAAAAGAATTGTCAACCCAAAAAGAAAGGGCGGGGGGATGTGAGGGGGAAGAAAAGAATCATCAACCCAGATTTCTGTAACAGAAATGCACTTCAGGAATGAAGGAATGAAAACATAGACATTTTCAGATGAAAGAAAAATCTCAGCAAGCAAAATTCTCTAAACAAATGCCAAAGGAAGCCCCTCAGACAACAGGGGAAAAATCTGAATAAAATTTTGACCAACAGAAGCAACAAAAATGATAAGCTCCCAGGTATAATTATAATAAACCATTCTTCTCTTGAATTCTGATAAATATGTTTAGCAACTGAAAGCAAGACCATTGTATGATGGAGTTTTTCAGTGTACAGTGATGTAATATAATGATAGCATAAAAAAGGAGTTTGGGGGCCCACAATAAAATTTCAACATTTCAATTAGAGAAAAAATACCACTTCTCAGTAAACTGGAAGAAGTATTTAAGTATAACTCTAGAAAACAAACCTAGAAATAAACTTAAGGAGGCTGAGAGATAGTACAGTAGGTAAGGTGCTTGCCCTGCACACAGCCAATATGGGTTTGACCCTGGCACCACTCATGGTTCCTCAAGCCCATTAGGAATGATCCCTGAGCTCAGAAACAGGAATAAGTCCTGAACACAGTTATGTGTGGCCCAAACAAAAAAAATTTAAGGAGGCAAAACACTTACTGAAACAAAATACATACTGAGAACTATAAAACACTGCTGAGAATAATTAAAAGACAAAATTCATTAAAATTCATCTATTCTTAGGCAGGAAGACCAAAGCTATCCACACATACAATGCAATCCCTATCAAAATTCCAACAATCTTTTTTACAAAAATGGAAATGCTGATTCTCACATTTATATGGGTTTGCAAGGGATGTAAAATATCCAAAATAATCTTGAACAAAACTGAAAGGTTCAAATTCCCCAAATTTAAAATTTACTTTAGGGATCAGGGAGACAGCTCAAGTAGCAGAGCATATGGTTAAACATGTGCAAAGCTAAATTCAATTATGGGCAAAGAATGCCCCTTAGCACCATGAACACCCTCCTCCAGCACAGCTGAGTAAAGCTATGGTGGCCACTGGTCTCCCACCTTCCAACCCCCTACCCTACCCCCCAGGCACTTCAATATGTGGGCCTGGTGATTCCCCCAAGCACACCACTATGAAGCCCTGAACACCACACCATTAGGTCTGTGCTTCCAGTCCAAGCATAGGTAGGCCTATAAAAAACAAAATTTTAAACCTTATTTTAAAGCTTTAGTAGTTAAGAAAAAATATGAGCCAATGGAACTAAGACTAAAAATTTACAAGACAATTCAACAGAGAAAAAGTCAAAAGTGTACTGTTAATGGCATCAGTTACATTCACAATGTTGTGCAAACAAAGCCCTGAACCTTATGGCTTCATGGTGAAACCTACCAATCATTTAAATAACTTAGAGATCTTTTTCAAACTCTTTTAAAAAATGAAAAGAAGGAAGTATTTCCTATCAGTATTGCCTGATATCCAAAGTAATGCTAAGACAATTAGAATTAGGGTCTGGAGAGAGAGCACAAAAGCACAGGTTCAATCCCTGGCATCACATGGTCCCCAAAGTATCAAGCCAGGAGAAGCCCTGAGCACCACTAGTTGTGGACCAACAAAACTCAAAACTAACAACACCCCCAAAACTATAAATAAGGGGCTGGAGCAATAGCACAATGGGTAGGGCATTTGCCTTGCACGTAGCCGACCTGGGTTCAATTCCCAGCATCCCATATGGTCTCTGAGCATCACCAGGAGGAATTCCTGAGTGCAGAGCCAGGAATAACCCTTGTGCATCGCCAGATGTGACCCAAAAAGCAAAAAAAAAAAAAAAAAAAAAAAACCACCTAGAAATAAACATTCCTTATGACACACAAAAACCTAGCAAATCTTATTCAGCAGCAGCAGCATACTATACACCATACTAATCACTATACCAATCACTATACACCACATTTAAATGTGTAGAATGCCAGGGTGGTTTAAAGTACAAAAGTTGACAAATACGATATACCACATTAACAAGATGAAGAATTTTTTTAAAAAATGCTCATCTCAAATGGTGTAGAGAAAGCATATGGCAAGATTCAACACCTCTTGATGATTAAAAAAAAAAACACACACACAACTAGGGGCAGGAGAGTATAACAGGTAGGGCACTTGCTTTGCACACAGACAACCCTGATTCGATTCCCAGCATCTTAGATGGTATCCAAGCATAGCCAAGAGTAATTCCTGAATGCAGAGCCAGGAGTAACCCCTGAGCATCACCAGGTGTGCTCCTCTATCCGACACCCCCCCCCCCAAAAGAAGCACAACTAAAAAATATGTGAAAACTACATCAACGTTAAGAAAAAATTCAAACTAAACATTTATACTCAATGTGTGACAAACTGAAGTTTTCCTCTAGAATATGAAAAAAGCTAAGGAAGGTGTCTGTTGTCACTCTACACTGGCAGCACAACTAAGTCAAGTAATATAAAGGAAACCTAGATAGAAGTTGTTTATAGATGACATGAACCCATATGCTTTATGAAAACTATAAAGATTCCACACTAAAAGTTGTTAGAATTTATAAGCAAATTGGCCTGGAGCGATAGCACAGCAGTAGGACGTTTGCCTTGCACACAGCCAACATGGCCGACCCGAGTTCGATTCCTCCGCCCCTCTCGGAGAGCCCGGCAAGCTACCGAGAGTATCTCGCCCCCATGGCAGAGCCTGGCAAGCTCCCTGTGACACATTCGATATGCCAAACACAGTAACAACAAAGTCTCCAATAGAGACGTTACTGGGCCGGCTCGAGCAAATCGATGATCAACGGGAGGGCCTTTACTTTACTTTACTATAAGCAAATTCGATGACTAGTAGGACAGTACCTCTGTTTTTTTTCAGGTACCAAATATGCCTTGTTCCTCTACTAGAGTCATCTTTGGCCCCATCCTATAGATTTTTTAAATCTTACTGTTAGGATTATCAATGAAATTTTTTCTACTCAAAATATTCAAGTGTATTTCTAATTTCTTTTCTCCTAGGTCTGTCTTCAAATGCTATAATAAATTCACATAGAAATATAGTTTAACTTGTGGTTATCATGCTGCAACCCAAAATGTTTACAGCATATTTTCTTTTAAATATGCTTTTAAAACAATTTTTTAGTTTTTTCTTAGCCCCAATTCCCCCCCCAACACACACTGGGGATAGCACTGTCCTCCTGTTGTTCATCGATTTGTTTGAGAGGGCCCAGTAATGTCTCCATTGTGAGACTTGTTGTTACTGTGTTTGGCATACCAAATGCATCATGGGTAGCTTGCCAGGCTTTGCAGTGCAGGCGAGACACTCTCGGTAGCTTGCCGGGCTCTCCAAGAAGGGCTGAGAAATCGAACTCGGGTCGGCCTGGTCAGCCTCCAGCCCCAACACATTACTTAATTATTGCTCCTTCCAAAACACTAGCATAGCCTAATTTCATACTCCCTTTATTTAGCCTTTACTGCATTCTTATTAACCAAGGAAGGTATTTTCCCCCCAGATTACAGGGCACGAACCACATCACTTTTTCTTTTTAAATCCAATATAAAATACAACGTAATTCTCAATAAAAGTTATAAGAATCTCTTTCCAGGAGATATAGTAGAGCAGGTAGAGTGTTTGCCTTATACATGGCCGGCCTGGGTTCAGTCCCTAATATCCCATAAATTCCTATGCCCTCCAGGAGTAATTTCTGAGCACAGAGTCAGAAATAAATGCTGAACACTCCTGGATGGCACCCCCTCCCCCCGCCAAAAAAAAAAATCTCTTTCCAGGGGTTTTCTTCAAACCAAGCAATCCAGTAGGAGCCTACTTCAATAATTTCTGCTTTGGGGGCTAGAGCTATAGTATAGCGGGAAGGGTGTTTGCCCTGCACGCAGCTGACCCAGGTTTGATCCCCAGCATACCATATTGCCTCCTGATTACCTCCAGGAGTAATTCCTGAGTGCAGAGTCAGGAGTAACCCCTCTGCGTTGCCGGGTGTGACCCCCCAAAAAAAGGGAAAAAAAAATTCTGCCTTCATGAGCTACTTGATAATGACAATAATCTGAAGAAAGGACTCTTAGTCCTCAAATATACTGGAAACAAAGAACTAAAATGGCAACTGAAATTAAAATACCAAGTTTAAATACACGTTCTAAAGTGTTCAGTCACCTTTGTTCTTACTTAGCATTCAATTAACTATAAATTAAATTTATTATAAATACAAATTTAGTATCCTACATGGTCCATCTTAAGTAGTATCAAAATGCTTGCTTACAGTTTGAATTTAAATAATATGTGACAGATAAATTTGAAAAATGTATTCCATTAATTCTATGGCTTCTGGTCTGTGCTAAAGAAATATGTGCAAGGATGAATCTTTACTTTTATATATGACACTTAACTATGCCAAAGATCATTAGAAATGCAAATGAAACTATTGTTATTACCTGCTGAACAGCTAGTGTACTGTCCATTTCATCAAAGGATTCATCAGGCCAATTATAGAAATCCTGTAAAAAAAATTCATTGATATGCACAGTTAGAGATTCAACACTATTACAATTCAGCTCAATTCTTAATAAAGAGTAAGTTTTAACTAGAGGGGGAAAAAACTCTCATACTATAAGCATTGTGATTATCAGGAATATAATCATGGCTGACCCGAGTATGATTCCTCCGCCCCTCTCAGAGAGCCCAGCAAGCTACCAAAAGTATCTCGCTCGCACGGCAGAGCCTGGCAAGCTACCCATGACATATTCGATATGCCAAACACAGTAACAACAAGTCTCACGATGGAGACGTTACTGGGCCTGCTCTAGCAAATCGATGAACACGGGAGGACCGTGACCCAACTTCAATTTGCGGGGGCAATGAGGAGAGTGCAACACCCAGTGGTGCTCAGGATTTACTCTTGGCTCTGCACCTGGCAAATGTGGGAACCACAGAGGATGCTGGGGATTGAATAAGGGTCAGCCACAAGCAAGGCAAGTACCCTACCCACTGTACTATCTCTCCAGTCCTACATCCAATATTTTTAAATGAACTGAATCATGATTTTACTTAATTGAATCATGCTTTACATTTTTTCGACCAAAAAAAAAATCCTCAAATATGGCTCCCATATCCTTTTAAGTATTAGGGAGATACGTTTATCACTTTAAGATGAATTAATAAACCTCGAAAATTTACATTAAAAAAGAATCTATGTACCACAAATCTTAAGTTGTTTTTATTTGGAGGAGGTGGGCCCACACTTTGGGCCATACCCAACTATACTCACAATCACTACTGGAGGGGCTCTGGGGACCATATGTGCTGCTACCAGGGCTTCACATATGCTAAGCAAGGGCTCTACCACTGAGCCATACCCACAAACCAAAATATTGTATTTACTATTTTTCATTTTTCTTGTTTTGAAGCCACAATGGAAGTGCTTGGGGTTTGATTCTGGTTGTACTTAGGGTACCATGTGGTGGTAGGGAACAAACTGGGATTAGCCACATGTAAGGCAAGCACTTTAACACCCTTGTATTAATCTCCCCAATCCTGAATACTTAATTTTATATGCTGGGGTAGAGGGGTAGGCCACTTCTTTCAGTGCTCAGAGGCTAATCCTGGCTCTGTGCTCAGGTATAATCCCTCTTGGTACTGAGGGCCATTTATGTTGCCAGGGATCAAATTGTATGGAGGGATACAAGGCAAGCAATTTAACTCCTGTACTATCTCTGGTCCTCCTTAATTTTACACTTACTTTCATACTGAGATATAAGGAAAGAACTACAGAGCAGTAATAACAGGCAAGGGAATCATACTTTTCTGAACCCCTATTCAGAGCAATTTCCATTTTTGTCCAAATTGCCTTTAAAAAGTCTACTGGGGCCAAGAGATGGTAGAGCCTTGCACACATTCAACCGCAGGTTCAATAGTTGGCATCACATATGTTCCCTGAGCACTGCCAGAAGTGATCTCTCACTGCAGTGCCAGAAGCAAGTCTGAGCACAGCTAGGTGTAATCCAAAAACCAAGTAATAGACTACTGGGCCAAAGAGCTCCTAGGGCTGGAGGGCATGCTTTGGATGTATGAACCATGGGTTCAATCTCTGCCACCACATGGTACCCAGTTCTAAGCCAGGAGTAGTTCCTAAGCACCACCAGATATGGCTGCCCAAAAGAGCTCATCAAAAAACAGTAGCAGGGGAATGCCCTGCCACAGAGGCAGGGTGGGAGGGGGGGTGGGGGGAAATGGGCACTGGTGCAGGGATGGGTATTTGATCATTGTATGACCGAAACTCAGGCACAAGGATTTGTAAATCTACAACTGTACCTCATGGTGCTTCACTAATAAAAAAAAAAAAAGAAAGAAATATAATTCATCTCAACTCAAAAAAAAAAACAGTAGCGATTTTCTTGCGTTGACTTGGAATTCTTTTATAATCTAGTTCATAGACATACTCCTAAGAGATCTGAATTTTCTCATTTAAGTTGGGGCACAAGCTCTGTAGCAGGGGCCAGCAGGGGTCAACCCCAACACTGAAAACATTTTTTCTAGTTGAGTGATTTTCCAGCAAATTCACCTATGTTTCTAGTCTGTACCTAATCTATAGCTTAATGTCTCAACAAAAACGACTGATGGAAAAACTGGGAGAAAAAGTAACAGCAAGTGAATGATTAATAAACCTTATCAATCATCACAAATGATTTACACAAACGCTTTGAGTGGGGGGGAAAAAAAGAGAAAATTGGAGGATCCAGGTAGATGGCAGGCCCCAAACCAAAAAAAAAATCAGAAGAAAAATAGTTGGGGACCAGGCAGTAAAGAGGGTAAGGTGCTTGCCTTTCTGCAGGTTCAATCCCTGACACCCCAGATGGTCTCCCAAGCCAACCAGTAGTGATCCATAAATGCAAAGACAGAAGTAAACCCTGAACACAGCCAGGTATTAAAAAAAGAAAAAGAAAAAGAAGAGAAAAAGGAAAGGAAGTAAATATCTTAATCTATTTTTATAGCTGCCCAATCCAAATGAAAATTAACTTCATTACATGTTAAAAGTAAAAATCTTCCAGAAAGTATTTCAAGTTGTCTTTCTAAAATTAAATGATGCTTACTCAAAAAAAGTGCTTCTCACAGAGGCAGACTGGTGGGTGGGAGGCAAAGCTAGGGAGGGGGAACTGGTTGAGGGAAGTGGACACTGGTAAAGGAATTTTTGCCTGAAACGCAATCATGAATAACTTTGTAATTTCATGGTGACTAAAATAAAGTGATATAAATATTACTATTAAAATTTATCCTATATCATTTATATTTTGGGGCCATACCCAGCTGGCTCAGTTTATTCCTGGCTCTGTACTCAGGAATTATTGCTGGCAATGCTCAGGGGACCATATGGGATTCCAGGGATAGAACCAGGGTCAACCACATGCAAAGTGCTCTAGAAGCTATACTATATCTTCAGTTCCACTAGTTATTTTTTTTAATTTTTTTTCAATTTGTTGATTTTTTTTTAATTTAAAAAATTCAAAATTTTTTTCCCCCAAATTTTTTGGGGCTGGAGCGATAGCACAGCGGTAGGGCGTTTGCCTTGCATGCAGCCAACATGGCCGACCCGAGTTCGATTCCTCCGCCCCTCTCAGAGAGCCCAGCAAGCTACCGAGAGTATCTCGCCCGCATGGCAGAGCCTGGCAAGCTCCCCATGATGTATTGGATATGCCAGACACAGTAACAACAAAGTCTCCAATGCAGACGTTACTGGGCCCGCTTGAGCAAATCGATGATCAACGGGAGGGCCTTTACTTTTTTACTTTTACTTTTCCGTCCCATTACTTATTTAAAAATTTTTTTTTGCTAGCTAGGATTTGGGAGATAGCTCAAGCTGGAGCACAGGCTGTGCATGACAGAGGCTCAGGTTCTACCTCCTGCAGCACTGAGGGAAGCAATCCCCACCACCGTCTGGGATATTAAAGTTATATCAGAAGGGCCAGAGATAAAGGGCAGGGATTAAGGAATTTGCCTAGCATAAACTAACCTCCCAATCCAATCCCCGTCTCCACGTGTTTCCCTGAGCATGGAGAGGAAGCAGTCCCCCAAGCACTGCTGGGAATGGCCCAATCCACCCTTCCAGACCACCCAACCAAAAAAACTAACTAGGAATCATATGTTCTGCTTCATCAAAAGTGTAATGTTGGGGCTAGAGAGATAATAGACGGGCTAAGGCACTTGCCCTCCAAGCTACCAACCCTGGTTTGATCCTTGACACCACATATGGTCTCCTGAGCACTGAGAGGAGTGATCACTGAGCAAAGAGCAAGGAATAATACTTGACACCTCTGGCCAAAAACAAACAAGAAAGGAAAAAAGGAAAGAAAAACTGTAATGCTTTGTGTGGTGTTGAGGAAATAACAAAAGAAATGTAATGGGTGTGTTGGGGGGTGGGGTGGCAGGGAGATTACTGAGGATAGAACCCAGTTCCCATGAATGCAAAGCATGTACTTAAACAACCAGCTCACAATCCCACCTATGATGCATCAGTTGTGGGGGAGGAGGGATGCAGAACTCTGAGGATGCTCAGGGCTATTCCTGGCTCTATGCTCAGAGAGAACTTCTTGTGATGCTCAGGGGATCATTTGTGGTGCCCCAGATTCAAACCAGGGTCAGCTTCATTTAAGGAACAAGCATGTTACCCCCCTGGACTATCTGACCCCTGATGCATTTTAAACAGTAGTAACCAAAAAACTGACTTAAAGAACATTCTCTTGCAATTCAGACATTATATTAAAAAAACAATGGGTCTACAATACAACTAGTATTTACAAAAACAAAAAGATACTCCACTATAATTTTAAGTATTTTAGAATGAGCCATTTCACTAAATGAAATGAGTATGATAAAGGATAAGACAAACTGTTGCTAAAACATTTTTTTAAATTCTTACTTCTTTTGCTGCATTTTATTTAACAACTCTGATTAATAACAAATAAGGAAAAAGAGAACTTCCTGATACTCTCTCATAACATAGCAAACAGATTGTTACAATATTAAAATTCATGTTATAAGATTTCAAAACTCTTAACTTTAGAGTAAATAAAAATAGATAACAATTCTTAGTACAAAAGTCTGTGTCTGCTTATAAAATATAAATGTTGCTCAATTATGCATAAGGAACACTGGTTGGCCCAAAGTAAATAAAAGTACCTGACAAAAGACCATTAAGAAGTTTGGGAAAGGTAAAAAGGAAAGCAGAAATTGTATTTATGGGCCAGAAACATAGCACAGTGGGTAGGGCCAACCCAGCCTCAATCCCGGTTACCATCTATTTTCTCCTGAGCAAGGAGTGATCCCTGAGCACAGTGCCAGGAGTAAATCCTGGGTACAGCCAGGTGCGTCTCTGCACCAAAAAAAAAAAAAAAATCATATTCATACAGTTTAGATCACTAAACTGACACCCTGATTTGATTCAGTACTAGAAATAATTTGTCAAACAAAGAAAGTCGCCAATGGACAAGAATCGAGAGACTTAGTAACCCTGAGCAAACGCAGCCTCAGTTTCCCTATTAGTACCCAGGTCTGGGAAAGTCCTGATGCACAAGTTCCCTGGAAAAGGTTATCGGTTTCAAAACGCTAGGAGGAAGACAAGGAATTGCCGGAAGGACGGTTGCACTGCTTTGCGGTGGTGGTTTTTTTTTCATGTGCCATTCCTCCCTCTATCCCCCTTTCTTTCTTTCTTTCTTTTTTTTTTTAATGCCTGCTTAAACACGGGTAATTTCGGAGCATCTGCGGCCAGAACCTGACTAGGGGAAGGGTGGACGGGCCCAGCCTAAAGGCCTCTCTCTCACACTGCCTTTCCAAGGAGCTCCGGTTCGGCCCCAGGGGTGTCCCCCAGGGAGTTGACATTCCCTGACTTGGCTTCTCACGGAAATTCGCCAGCAATGACATCTGACAAGCCGTAACCTGACGGCGGAAAACTTGTTAGACCAGAGAACAGCTGCAACAATCTGTGGTCAGAGGACAAAACACAGACACACAGAGACACACACAGAGACACAGACACACAGAGACACAGACACACAGAAACACACACAGAGACACACACACAGAGACACACACACAATCTGTAGTCAGAGGACAACACACACACACACACACACACACACACACACACACACACACAGCCTGAGGCGGAGGAGGAACGCCTGCCACCCGGATCCGGCTACACCAGGCGGATGGCAGAAACCGGCGGGGACGTCACCCGCAGCGAGGAGCTGGAAGGGGGCAGGCGACGTCTACACCCCCGACCCCACCCCCAGCCCTCATCCCGGAAAGCCGGGCCGGAGGGGGGGGCTCCCCTGACAGGCCGCGCCCCTCCGACGCGGGTCAGCTGGGGTCCGGGGAGGGGGGGGTGGGGAACAAGACGAGAAAAAGCCGCAGCCGAAGCCGGCTGGGCTCGGCACCTCAGTGCCGGGGGCGGTGACCGCCCGCCGCCCCCACCCACTCCTCACGCCCACCTCAGGGCCCCCGCAGGCCGCGCGGGCCGACGCCTCCGCCCGGACTGAGGGGCAGAGGCTCCGGAAGAGCAGGCCGGGCCCCCGGGGGCTCCCCGCCGGCCCGCCCGCCGCCCCGAGACCCGCGCGGCCTTCCGCTCGGGCGCCGCCAGCTTCGCAAGAGCGTTCCCCGCCGGAAAGGTGCAAAAGATGGTACCTGCGCCTTGGTGCCCGGCCTGTTTCGCCTCAACACTGCCGTCCCCTCCGCCATGACCATAGTGCCAGAGTCCGGGCGGCTCGAGTCAGTACCCGGATGTAGGGGACGGCTGCCTGGGCGAGGGGCGGGGCACAGCTGCGCCCGCGCGAGCGGCGGGGAGAAGCGGCGGCTGAGGGAACAGCCGGGGCGCGCGCGCACGCGCGCGCGGGGCAGGGCGGGAGAGAGGGGCGGGGCCGGCGGGGAGGAGGTGGGCGAGGGCGGGGCCCGGCGAACGCCCCGCGGCGTGGTCAGTGCCCAGCCTCAGCGCGGGCGGGCGCCGTCCGCTGACATCAAAGCCAAGGACTTTTTCAATGACAGTGTCGGAAGCGCAGATTAGAGACGCAGATAGGAGACGCAGAGTGTTAGGACCGTGTGAGGCAAACTTCAAATGACATGTTTTTGCAATTTCTAAGCATGACAACAAATGCTCCAAGATAGATGATGGGAGTAGTTATCCCAGTTTACAGTATTCCAAGGTTTTTGTTTTGTTTTTGTGCTATAACCACACTGGGCAGTGCTCAAGGCGTAAACCAGGTGTAAACCTGGCTCTGTGCTCAGAGATCACTCCTGAATGCTTAGGGGTCCATAATGGGGTGCCCAGGATTGAACCCGTCCGCTGCGTGCAAGGAAAGCACCTTAGTCGCTGTACTATGGTTCAGGTCCCCAGAAGCCTAAGGTTTTTGTTGTTGTTGTTGTTGTTGTTGTTGTTTTTTAATCTTAGATGACAGAGGTTTTGGATTATCTGATGGGAAGTCAAAAGGACAAAGTGTATACTAGACCCATGATTTATAGAAGAAGCCATCAGATGTCACAAGATAAAGGTATGTGCTGTGAGGTGAGAGAAATTGTAAAGGGAGAAGAGAAAGAAAAAAGAGGATACCTTACAGAGTAAAAGATAAGGATTACTGGTTCAGAGAGATAGTACAGGAATTAAGGCACATCCCTTGTTTAATCCCATATGGTACCCCTCAACACCAGGAGTGATCCCTATGTGAAGAGCCAGGAGTAATCCCTAATGCCACTGGGTGTGGCCCAAACATACCCCTTCCTCTGCCAAAACAAATAAATTACTCCAGGTTAAGAGGTGAACCATTCCAAAATAAAATAAGCCTATCTGGGAAAATGTAAAATTAATCCTTGGAGGGCTGGAGTGATACGGTATTTGCCTTGCACGTGGCCCAATCCGGGTTCAATTCCCAGCATACCATATAGTCCCCCGATCACGGCCAGGAGTAATTCCTGAGTGCATGAACCAGGAATAACCCCTGTGCATTGCTGGGTGCGACCCAAAAAGCAAAAAAAAAAAAATTTAATCCTTGGAGTCTGTAGAATTCTTCGTAGAACAGAAGGCCTCCCTAGATCCAAATTCTGGACTTAAGTTACTTAAAAGGGCTGGAGCGATAGCACAGCGGGTAGGGCGTTCGCCTTACAAGCGGCCAACATGGCCGACCCGAATTCGATTCCTCCGCCCCTCTCGGAGAGCCCGGCAAGCTACCGAGAGTATTCGATATGCCAAACACAGTAACAACAAAGTCTCCAATGGAGACGTTACTGGGCCCGCTCGAGCAAATCGACGATCGACGGGAGGGCTCTGGCTCTGGAAGTTACTTAAAATCTAACAGTGGACAGACATGCAAATCACTGATTCTCACACTAAATTCATTGAGAACTGAGGAGGAACACCATCCTAATATTTTCTCCTTAAACAGGGCCTTTCATACTTGGACCTCAATGCTTAACACAGTTAGGGATTAATAAATATTTTTTGAATTAAAAAATCTTTTAGTCCCCGCAGTAGGTTACTGGCACCCAGCCACCCCAGGTGGAAATAGGTTTCCTGCCTTGGACTGTTTCCCCTTGTGGCCTTATGGCCACTATCCTCCAGAGGCCATTGGACAGTCACATTTGGGCCTGCAGTGACAAGACACGCGGAACCTCACAGGATGGGAGTGGAGCCGGCCCTTTCCTCCCCACCCCAACAAGACCCTGAGTCACCACCCAGGAATGGCCTCTCTGGCTCCTGATCAAGCTGCTTAACGGCCATGATCCCAGAGACTCAGAAACAAATCTCGGAACCCAGCAGCTTTTGGCAGAAATGCATCTGGTCCCTGCAGTAGGTTACCAGCGCTCGGCCACCCCAAATGGGAATAGGTTTCGTACCTTGGCCTGTTCCCCCTAATGGCTCGGTGGCCGCCATCCTCCAGAGGCCATTGGACAGTCAGGTTTGGGCCCACAATGATGCGACACGTGGGCCTCATGGAATGGGGATGGAACTGGCCCTTTCCTCCCTGCCCCAACGAGATCCCGGGTCACTGCCAATGAATGGCCTCTCTGGCTCCTGATCAAGCTGCTTAATGGCCATGATCCCAGAGATTCAGGATCAAATCTCAGAACCCAGCAGCTTTGGGCAGAAATCCCTCCAGATTTAATTGTTAAAATTTCAGAATTCCAAAATTGCGCGGCCACTTCTGTGGCCGCATGACATCATATGTTATTCATAATTAGCAATAGAAAAGAAATTGCCTACGGTTGCCTTTGCAGCAGATCTGAGTGTTGGGGTAAAATCCCAAATAATAATGGTGGGTCTGGTGTCGAAATATTGAATTTAATCAAAGTAGAGAGAGAGTAATGTGGAAATCATCTGTCCCACAGGTAGGGGGAGGGTGTGGGATGTGGGGTATAGTGGGGTTTTTGGTGGTGGAAAATAGGCATTGGTGAAGGGGCAGGTGTTTCATCATTGTATGACTGAGACTTAAACCCAAAATCTTTGTAACTGCTCTCATGGTGATTCAATAAATAAATTTATAAAAAGGGGGGGGGGGAAGGAAGGTGGAGTTCATGCCCAATTCAATCAGCTTAATCAATGGCTAAATAAATAGCAATACTCCTACATTAAAATAAAAAATAAATAAATAATCTTTTAGTATCTAGGAGTCAATGATGGAGTTGCAGAAGTATGTCTTGCTCTTTAAAAAATTACCAATCCATTTTCAAAAATAAAATGAATATTTGGGATCTGCATATATAGGAGTGAGCCTTTCCCTAAACCCTCCTCACACCTACCTCTGAAGCACTGAACTGGGAATAGCTCCTGAGCAATGCTAAGTGAGTCCCCAAAACAAAAAAATCTTAAAGGCAAACCAACTTTCTGTTTACAAATCCCTATGAACAGAGTTCCAAGTCACTGAGAATCACTCAGATTCAAACCCAAATTTCACCAACCTCTTCTCTAGTCCTAGAAGAGAGAAGCCTTTGAATATCTGGCATCCTATATCTGCCAGGAGCGATTCCCTGAGCACAGAGCCAGGAGTAAGTCCTGTGCACCACTGGGTATGGCCCCCAAACCAGAGACAGACAGACAGACATACACAGAGAGAGAGAGAGAGAGAGAGAGAGAGAGAGAGAGAGAGAGAGAGAGAGAGAGAGAGATGCAGAGAGAGAGAAAGAGAGAGAGAAAGGGCAGATAAACAGCACCAAAATTGGGAACAAAATACTCACGGCATTGAAAGCTGAACAAAGTTGCACTGTGATGTCAACTGTGGCCTTGTTCACAGGAAGAACCTTGTTCTTTAGGATAGAAATGTTGCTAACTCATAACCTTCACATTTCATGTACTTTTCCGTCTGCAGATTATGACTCAAAGAAAAATAATTTTATAACCAAGGCTAAGGTCGGAGGAGGGATCATGCTGAACATTAACATTTATATGTAATAATGATTTACTTAAATATTCCAGTTGGAGTAGTGGTCCTGTTTGATTTGGGGGCCACATCTGGCAGTGCTCAGAAAAACTCCCAGTTTGGCAGTAGGAGGTTAGTCCCAGAAGTGCTGCAGAACCATAAGGTATAGGAGATAAAAACATATACTTCAGCCCTTTGAGTTATCTCCCTTATTCAGAAGTAGGCTTTTTGTTTATTCCCTTATTTATTTAGGATTAGGGGCTGCACCTGGAACACAGAGGACCATATGGGGTGTCAGGGATCAAACTTAGGTTGGCTGTGTCCAAGGCAAACACTACCTGCTGTACTATCCCTTCAGTCTCCAGACTGCAAGTATCCTTTTGTAAGACATTATGTACAAATAAGCCTAAACAGCAATTCAGAAAAGTGCTACTAACTGTAAGATAGACACTTCACTGTAGTTCCTTGTATCTTGGTATGAAAGCAAGTATAAAATTAAGTACTCATGGGCTGGAGTTATAGTACAGTAGGTCGGGCATTTGCCTTGCATGCAGCTGGCCCAGGTTCAATCCCATATGGTTTCCTAAACCCTGCCAGGTGTGATCCCTGATTCCAGAGCCAGGGATAAGCCCTGAGCATCACTGGGTGTGGTAAAAAAAAATAAATAAATAAAAATAAAAATAATTATATTGAGGGCTAAGGATGCGGCTCAATGATAGAGTGCTGGTGTTGTGTGTGTGAGGCTCTGGATTCACTTGGGGGGCACCATGCAGTGAAACCTGAAGCACCACCAGGAGTGCCCCCGACAATGAGCTGAGAGTGGCCCCTGAGCATTGCCACAAAAGAAACAAACAAACAAAAATACTTGTTTATGGGTGTTTATGGGATTCTTAGGGAAGTTTTAGGAAATATAAATAATTTCAAAAATAGGGGCCGGAGCGATAGTAGAGCAAGTAGGGCATTTTCCTTGCATGCGGCCAACCCGGGTTCGATTCCCACCATCCCATATGGTCCCCCAAGCACCGCCAGGAGTAATTCCTGAGTGCAGAGCCAGGAGTAACCCTTGAGCATTGTCGGATGTGACCCAAAAAGCAAAATAATAATAATTTCAAAAATATCTGGGGGTTATCAATGACTGAATAAATAGCAATACTCCTACATTGAAATAAAAAAAAATCTGGGGGTTGAGGTGATAGGTGAATATGATGGAGGACATGCTTTCCTATCCATGCAAGAGTCTTAGATTTTATCTACGTCACCACATGGTGCCCTGAGCAACCTTAGGAATGACCCCTAATATGGCCGGGGTCTTTATAGAATAAAAACCAGGAGGAAAAACATTGTGTGTATCTAGGAAATTCTAAAATCCATGTAAAATAGTAATATTCTAATATTACTATTTTGTAATATGTGAGGCACTAGGTAAGTGATG